CACCTTGTCACCTCAGTGTGCAAAGTTGAGAATATCTACTGCAGCTAAAGTCATAGTCTTGCAGAAACTGGCAGCTCTAGCGCAGAAAATGAATTTAGTCCCTGAAGGCACTGTGGCAACTCAGCAACTTCCTGAAGAGAAGAGAGAACCTCCTGCCTCTCTTGCTAGAGACAAGCTTGCAGCACTCAAGCTCACCGACTGGAAAACCCCAGCTTCTTTACAATGAGGAGCAGCAGCTAACAACTTAGAGCTATTACCGTCACAAAAATGGCTCTGTACCTTTGTCAAACTCTCTACCTTTACCAGTCCAGAATTGTCCTAGCTGTAAGAATCTTAAATTTTTTAATATAATTACTTTTAAAAAAATTCAGCAAATGATCAGGACACGGTATTAGTCCCTTACAAGGGAGCTGTCTCCTCTGGAGCGTCCCGCTACCTGACACGAGAAACCATCTGTACCTTTGTGAAGCAAGAGCATTCATTCCTAGATGAAAGTTCATAATTTGAACAGTATCACGCTGAGACAGACCTCTTTCGGTGACCCACAAAGACATGGATTCAATACTTATTTTTTTCCCTCTTGTCAAGCTTGTTTAATCTGTCTGAAATATTACAGAACTGGAAGAGATACTAACTTGGCGCCTTTTACTGGCATCTTCACTTCCAACCCGTGAATCACCAGCAGCACCTAGTGGCCAGAAAAAATTAGCAGGATATTTTCAAACTGATCACGTAATGAAACCTAAGGAGGTAAGTTCTAAACAATGTTTATCAGCTATATTTACATGCTTTGCTTGAATAACAGCAAAAATAGCATTACATAGATTCTCTCAAATGCTCAAGTTCTTTATATAATCCAGGGAACTCCTCCTAGCTGCATCAATCTGCGTTCGGCCCCCAGGACGTTTCAACCAGCCAAAAGACTGCCATCAGCATAGCCTCCGCCACAGCTGTCTGAGCACACTAGCAGAAGCAGTCCCCAAGCCCAAGCAGCATCAGGAGAGTTCCCAAGAGAAGCACACCATTCACGTAGCACAGAGGAGCATGACACAGGGGACAGTTGAGCAGCACAGCTTAAGCAGAACTTTACACAGGGACACCACGGAGACTGCAGTGCTGCCCCAAAGTGGACGAGCATAGAACAAAACACGGAGGAAGGAAGATCAGTTCCTCCCATCTGCTCCTGTTTTCAGCTTAATGGGAAACAGAAGAGAATCAGGAACGGCACTGAGGAGCAAAGAGTAGGAAGGAGGAAGTCTCTGGGAAATATGGAATTGGACACACACCAAGAACAAAAAACAAGAAAGGGGAAGTGGCATACCTTCCCAGCCTGTAGATGCTCTCAACCGTTCACAGAAAGTTCCAAATCCCAGGTTCAGCAAGCAGAGCCATCTTCATCAGCCCCATTCAGAATTACTAACTGAGACGATTGCATCAAATATCTTCCTATTTTTCTATTGCCCCTTTTTCTCTCATCCATGAGAAATGGAGTAAGGAAACAAGTTCCCGTTTTGTTTTTGCAACACTGAAACACTTCAGGCTTAAATCAAGACTGGGCCAAGAAGTGGCCTACTCCACAGGCCAAACCTCGTCTGTTCAATAAACTCATCTGGCCCATTCCCTACCACCACCTTTCCTTAAATATATCATTCAACTCGTTTAATTTTGAGTAATTCCCTGTATCAGAGAAGGACAATCACACAACAGATTATGCCCATGAACAGCTTCTAGTAACTCTCAAGAAAGCTGTGCACAGCCCCATCTCTCATGATAAAGACACCCTAATCCAGTCCAAGCTTCTGCAGAAGCGGTCATACACCCAGTTACATCAGTATTAAGCCCAAACAGCTTGTAGAAAATTAAAACATATCTCCCAGACCTGTTCCGACAGCTTCTAAAGCACAAAAATTCACAGCATGTCTGGAATGATTAGAACATCTAAAATAGATTACATCTGAAGTAGACGAAACAGCTGGAAACCCCCACAAGCTCCCAGGTACTGTAGCAACTGCGTTTTACTCCTTATCAAGGAGGAAAAGAAACTAAGGCAAAGAGAACATACAGATACTTTTATTGCTCACCTTTTATACAACAGCACACCTTCAGCCATTTTCTTTCACAGCTTGACAATGTTTATGTACACAAAAAACCCAGCAAGAAGCATTATGTGGCTCTCAGTAAAGAAAAAAAAAAAACATTAGAACAACAAACTCAGCCAGGCTTTGTTTTCTGCAGCAATAATAAAAGGGCTTCCTCCAGGCAGGAACTCATCTTCCCAGGCCGTAGTGCATTTCTTTAAAAAAAGACAACCCCCAAAACAAATTGCCCTAGATTTAGCTGAGCCAGTGGTATTAACTTGCAAATAAAATAAATTTCAGTTTGTCATTTCTTCTAGCTGATTTCAAGTAAAAATTAGGTTTGGAGGAGGAGCAACTTGTTTTGGATGGATGCAGGTCAGTTTGAATTGCTACACCTAACTACAGGCCTACATACACTATCAGTTCACAATTTAGCTTAGTTTTAAATGATCTTTGCAGGTTTTGGCAGCGGTCAGTCTCCAGAGTTGAGCAGGTGGTAAAACTTTGTTTAATGGAAGATAAGGCTACTGAACATGGCATCTACAGTAGAGCTCATATAATAGACAACAAACCTGTATGTTAGAGAGAATTCACTGCGCACGTGCATGTGTGTGTAACATTTTCTTGACTAAAATGACAGGCGAGCAAGTCAAAAGCAATATTCAGAACCGGTTTTAGACTATAACCGATTAATGATTAGGGGGAAGAATGCAGAAATTCCATTGTGTATTACAATTTGACCAGACAGATCTTGATATTTCTCTAACCAAAGTGGAGGGCAAATACAGCAGGTAGTTTCAGAACAGAAGTGTTCCAGCAGAGAAAAAAAAAAAAATCAGTCCAACATCTAAAAAGCATGGCTATTAGTCTAGGTGACGTGCAGTGGAGAATGACGATGCATTTAATTCATTCAGATAATAGAAAAGGTCTACAGAAACCTGCAGTTTTCTCAAAGCAAAACATCCCACCCAAACAGATCCTGCCTGCCACATACAATTCTGTATTAATTCAAGAAGCATTAAGCCAGGCCTCCGAAAACAGGTTTCTATTATTTGAGCTCTGCTGAAGTAAAAATTTTTAGTAGCCTCAGCTTGTAAAGTGTCTTCCTTGTCCAAAGCCAGATTGATTATACTGATAACCTCCATGTTGGAAGTGCTGCTCAAACTGCCCCCCTTGATTAAAGTTCTGTCCACCTCTGCCTCCCCAGCCCCCTCCTTGACCTCCACGGCCACCGCGACCACCACGGCCACCTCTCCCTCCTCCACGCCCACCCCCTCGGTCACTGTGGGACCCACCATCTTGGTATCTGTTGTCCTGCTGGTAGCCACCACCCCCTTGGTAGCCACTTCCTGTGTATGAAGACTGGTAGCCACCATAGCCTCCTCCTTGGTAGCCGCCGCCGCCGCCACCACCACCACCACCGTGGTAGCCACCCGTTTGGAAACCTGCATCTCTGTAGTTGCTCTCCCTGTAGCTACCATCCTGGTAGCCACCACCTCCGCCATCTGTCCAGCCTCCTTGGAGCTTGTTTCCTCTTCCTCCTCCTCTGCTGCCGTGATCATAACCACCACGTCCTCCTCGTCCTCCTCGATCATGGCTTCCTTGTTCATGACCTCCTCGCCCTCCGTATGATGAGTCGTAGCCTCCTCTTCCTCCTCGGTCATGACCCCCATGGTCATAACCTCCTCGCCCTCCATACGAGGATTCATAGCCACCTCTTCCTCCTCTGCCGCCGCTTTGTTGTGGACCAGCCTCTGGTCTTTTCTGCCAAGGTGGCATCTCAGGAGGTGGCGGTTCAATTTCATTGGGTCTTCCTCCTCTGTCAGGCACTCTGCCCATTAGCACCTGCAAAGGGAAATTGAGAACTGCCTTAGGAGTTGCAACACCTCACAGAAGAGCCTCTCTTACTGATACCCGCTGCAACAAGCGGCTGCTTAAGGCTTCCGACATCCAGATTTCATCAAGACAAATTTTTGTCGGTTTGAAAGTAACAAAGATCTTTGTCTCCAACCAAAAAAAACCGAACAGAGATTATCTAGTACTCCAAGTGTTGCTAGCAAGTCTGGAGTCTTGGGTTCTTTGTTCAAATATCAGGCTCACCAGTAGGGGCAGCATCAGTACAGTCTTTCACTCAACAGTTGACTAGTGCAGACTGCTAATCTCAAATGGCCATCAGTAGGGTGCAACTCAGTCTCTCTCCTAATGAGAGCTCTGAATCACTGCAGAAGCCATCAGCTAAGATGGTATTTTTGGTAAGCTATCTGAAAAGATTTTCATTTTTCCAGTAAGGACATACACCTTCATATGGACAAACTTCCTGAACCTCACACACCAGGAAAAAGGCATCAGACAGTGCTGACCAGATTTGAATAAGGACTCTAGAGGTCTTCAGCTGTCCAAGGATGTTGTGAAACTAAGCATTTAGCAAGACAAGGGACAGGATGCTTGCACTGTTTCAAGTTCTTAAATGATCAAATACAAAAACCTCAATGGAAGCAGGTTATTTTCTTCCTTTCTGTGACTTTCTTGGAAAACATTTAATATCACTAACAGACTGAGATAAACTAACAGCAGCAGGAGAGTCTTGCATTCCTAACAAAACATATATGCAGTTACACCTGTCTTCCCCACTTACTTTCTTTTATGTTCCATACTCCAGCTACACTAACAAAGGTGCAAAAATTATTTGGGTTGAGGGGCTCAGTCTAACCAGCACAACACCATTCAATCCTAAACGAATTAGAAAATTACCTGAAATATGAGTAGTACCAGAAATGGAGAAAAGCACGCACATACACCCACAAATTAAAATACCAGGTACACTGTAGTACACAGCGACTGAGCTTCAAGTTCAATGCTTGCACTTTTGTGAACCTATTATTCCTGTAAATCCATAATTTTCTGAAACAACTTTGTTGTCTATACCTTCCATGTTCCTTCCATGTTATTACTAAAACTACACATTCGACTATAATCTGTCCTATGTGAGTACACAGAGGAATCTAGTGAGATACTCAGTTTGCCATTTCAATTCATTTCATTTACATAGGACAGAAACACAGTTACTATGTGGGCAGTATCTTAGATACGATGACATAATTAGGTAACAGTAGTATAACAACATCAATAATTCTGATAAGAAATATAAGAGCAGGCCTAGCCACACTGAAAACAGGCAAACATATTTCAGCAATTTTTTTTACTACCTGTAGAAGGAGTATTACTCTAAACTTAAATGAGAGAAACTACCGTTCCCAGTTATGTACATAATCTGGTGTACATAAACACCAAGTTTCTTATCCTTTATTTCCAACTTCCACTTATGTTCCTAAAAAGTATGATTTCCTACTCCATTCAAAACATTATTTTTCTCAGTGGAATGAAAATGCGTTTTAAAAGTTTAAAATCAAGTTACTTGAATATTCAAAATAGAACAAGTGATTTTAGCTATCTGTCACCAAAGGTACCTTATTAATGGCACAGGCAGTCTTCTCTCGGATGGACCCACTGCTGGTTCTCATAATCTTTGACAGATCCTGCCGAGCTGCCAAGAGATTTGCAACGGAAATAGTGCACTTAGTAGATAAGAGGGCACGTTTCGGCTGGTAGACTTTAGCCAGCTTCTCTGTTTGACTCTGTTGGAGAAAAGAAAAACATAACACAGTAAGCTGGTGTAATACAAAAACAACGGGACATTGAGGAATCGGACATCATTCCAAGTAGAACAACAATTAATATAAAGAACAATGAGAATGACTTTGTGACTTTAAGAATTACTGTAGCAAGGCTAGCATTAGCCAAATTAATTTCTTAAGTAATAGAGGAAACACTATTCAGACTGAATTGACAAGACATCGATCTTCCGACAATTTTAAGAATAACAAACTAACACAAACTGTATTACTTCTCAGGCAAACACAGAATGCGAGTTTGTCACGTAATTACATGAATTACTACTAATGTCTAAGAGACAGTGAAAGTGAAACATGTCTGCATCCAGTCTCTACTAGGCCTCTGTGCACGCACAAATCTCTGACCCACACTCATTTCAGTTATGCTAGCATCACCATATCTCCAACACTGTATCAGGAGAAAAAGACAGTGCTACTCCTTCACATTTTTCATTTAGGTCAGCTTCTTCATAAATGGAAGCCATCAAGAGGCACAGGTAGAATCAAAGCTCTCAAGTACTTACTCTAATTCTGCCCAAATGAGATCCTCTTTGCTTACAAGACAACTCTGCCTTGCATACAGTCTCTCCTCCTCTGCTGCCTTTCGGCATTAACCATACTTGCTTTTCCAAACTCCACAAAAGTATGAGTAACTGTCCAATCGACAGAAATCAGGGCTACCAACTATGAGTTAATACACTAGCTGCGCGTATTTTCAGTCATCAAAGTAGGATGTGGGATGCAGCTAGGGCAAAAGAGATTGTGGCGTGCAGACAGACAAAAAGGCCTGTGAGTACAGCTAGATAACTACAGTGGGAACACTGAGAGCAAGCAAACTAGGTTTGCCAGCAAATCTCTTGATAGTGCTAAAACTTGCTCCAAAGTTTTTAAGTCTAAACTCCTATTTTCCATCTACAGGCAGAAAGTTGGAACTGTTAAGAGTTGAGAGTATGTGTTCCTGTAATGTGACTCAGAGGTTAAGTTTTTTTTAGAACCAAAAACTTTACACTTTAATATTGTAGGCTAAACAGATTACATTCAGAATTAAGGAAAACATGCACTTCATTGCCTGACACTGACTAAAGACAGGAGGAACAACAGTATCCATCAGAGAAGTATGGCTTTTTCTGGCAATCGTGACTGAGCTTTTGTGAACATAAAAGGACAACCACAGTATTTTGGAACTATGAGATTATTCTCCTAGATCATAAATTTCAAATTACATCTAGAAAAAGCTCATATTATAAAATTTTACTAGTACTTCCACCATCTGGAGAAACAATCATTTTAGTTAATACTACTATGTTTGGATACTTTCAGGTTATAAAATTAAAAATGTTAAGTGACCATCACATATTAAAGCACTGCTAAAAATTTACAATTAAAACAAACTGTACTGCATGTCTGGGACACTACAACATTCTCCAAGTCTTTATTGTTATGGTCCTAACAACTTTAGATCTGCATCTCAATAAATACAAAGGTATATAAACAATTGGTGTTTTTTCCATGAAAGAATTAGATGCAGCTGATCAAGTTCAAAAGCACCTGGGAATTCTCCTAGAAAAAAACATGGATTTGGACGTCAAAGCTATAACGCAACTACAAGAGGCCCGTTTTTTAAACATAATCCATATTATTGTCTATTTTCAATCACTATTAAAACACTCAGAATCAGATAGCTCTTACATAATTTTCTACTGAAAAAATCTGAAGAATGCTAGGTTTAAGAGAAAACACACCAGCAGAAGCCCTGTTTAGGTGATGAGCCAGGAAAGGGGAGAGGGGACATTTTATTGTTGAAATGTAGTTGCTTTTTGAATTCATCGGTTACCAAGAAAAAAAAAAAACACTTGACAACCTACGTGTCACAGTTTATGACTAAAATCCTCAGTCTCAAACACTGCTAGCCGCGTCTAAGCATCTAATTAACAGCATTGTAGTAGATCTGGTGTACTCATAGATATTAAAGCTACGTACCAGTTTAATAGAGCTCATCATACTATATCTAAAACGTTCATTCCCTTTTCACTATAAAATATAGGAAATAGGGAAACCACGCAATGATTTTAAAAAGCAGAATAATCATATAATTTATATTCAGAGAGAACAGAAGTCATGTCACAGCCACTTGCACAGTTCAAAGACAAAAGAAGCACATAACGAAATATTACCCTGTCTATGAGGTAAGAGAACAAGTAGTGCCATAGCAGCTTTTCTCATGTGCATCTGTGGAGTTGTGCTTGCAGACACAGTTTGAGTTAAGGAAATCTGAGCACTGTGGACAGCACAAAGTAAGTTAAGGGAAGATCAACAGGAAAGTGCTTTCCTACCATCACATAAACACAGCACTTAAGGAAAGATTCACATTATGGTGCTCTCAACACTAGTGGTTGGATTAGTAATCTTCTCTTATCACTTTCTCTACTGACCCTACTTAACTCTATAGTTTGGCTTCAGAGTATAGTTACACACAGTTCGTCTTCTCATTTTACATGCTTTTTTCAGTCTCAACAAGAGATCAGTTTTAAATAAAATTTTGTAATCAGCTTACACAGTCATAAACTTCTTCGGAAACTCAAACCAAAGCCAGACAACTTCTCTGATTATTTTTTACTTATGAAAAGTGAAAGAATGAAGCAGTTTTCAAGAGATACTTATTATAAAGCATAATCATAAACCAGCACAGCAGTTCACAGAAAGCTGTTTGTACCTTAGCTCTATCTGACCAGCCAAAGGACTGCACTGTTACATCCAAACGTTTGACTAATAGTTTTCTTCGGACTTCATATTCATTGACTATGGCTTGATTCATTGCTTCAATTTTTTCCTGAAACAAAAATTTGCAAACATATATACAGATTATAAATAAAATGTTTTTACTAAAGCCAACAAACTACGCGGGTAGAAGACAAACAGACATGAAGATACGAAGCAGGGCTAAGCCCACCGTTATCCACTTTGTCAAATGGACCCACAGCAATATGTCTGCCAACACTATTTTCCTGAAGGCTTCAAAGGCTCTGTTATCTTCACCCTCATACCATCTCTAGGAAGTACAGCTGCCTGTTGCTTGTAAGGAATGTAAAGGCTGCATACACTGCTGATGCATTTCTCACTCACCAAGACACGAGCAAAAATGAAAGAGTACTTCAGGAAATAAGCTAAAGGAGATATAAGGACACGCATCTAAATCCTATGGAGTTGGAAGTCCTTGCTTTCTTTGAAACAAGCAAGCTAAGAACAAAGACATACACCATTAAAAGTAACTAAAGTACTTTTAAGTACACAAAGTGTAGTAGAGACAAGGCAACAGAGGGGCTTAGAGGGAAAAGCCATCACTAGAAGCACACTAGTAGCACACAACGGTCTAGTCAGAGCAACAGTTGGGATATATACCATTAAGGAAATGGTTTACCTATTGCCTGATGCCTGCATCGAAACATCTGGAGGGCCTACATTCAGCCCAGGCAATATAGGCATTTAAGGAAAAAGTCTGCTTAGGACAGAAAATCTTAAGCCTTAAGCAAGAGACAGAGATACTCTCAGCATCCTGCAGTAGCAGCCGTAGCGCTGTGCGCTGGTTCAGCATCAGTCTTGGAGTACCTTCCCCAGGCACAATCCTCCTGGAACAGCAGGTGACAAAACCAAATCCTAGCCAGAGATTATCATGGCTCTACTGCCTGGATGTACAGTCTCTCTAAAACTCTACCTGCGCACCCACTGCTTCTGGAAAAAAAGGCTGTGAAGGAAGTAAACTATTCTAGGAGCATGGAAAGAGAGGAGGAAATTATGGGAGGAACGCAGGTTCTTTGGAAAGGCGGCACAGGAGGGGATATTACACTATCTCAGCAAGGCTAGGTCATACATACCACGCCGGCAAGGGGCAGGAGAGGAAGCCTTAAATCACTGCACAAGTATACAGGGCAGCAGAGCAGCTCTGCTCCCGCTGTAAAATTAACTTTCTCCTTTACTTTGGAAAATTTTGTGCAAGCCTCTGCACATATGGATTTGTGGAAATACACTGTTTGTGAAGGGGAGCCTAAGAAAGATCCAGTCAAAGTCACTGAGCATGTACTGCATCGTATATGTAGAAATGCTGCAAGAAATCGTCTTCTCGTCTTTAAAAACAGATGAGACGAGAATCATTGTGTAATATTCCACACAATCAGATTAACACTTTATATGCTCAAACAAGGGAAACAGACTAACACCTGCAACTACTTACCCAGTGAGCTGGTCCCAGCTGTTTCTTCAGTAAAGGTTTTCCAACATGATTAGGTGGAACCTTCGCTAGGGTTTCCTTCAGCTGTTAGGAGATGAATAAAAAACATAAGCATTAGCTAAAAATTAGTTTTTCAAGGTTAAATTTACAGGAGAGGACTGGATGGTCACAGGTATAACACAGCAGCCTCCGATACTAGCTTGCTTCCTTTCGGATAGAAAACCAATCACATGCCTTTGCAAAGCAACTGTTTTTATATTTCTAGTAATCTTGGCTAAAATTATTAAAAAAAAAAAAAAAAAATCAAGAAAACACACGATAGAGGATATCTACAATTAGAATTGGAGCTGTACCTCATGGAAACTTTCCCTTGAGGATAGAGGGAGTATTCTAATCTTCATCTTTCTAATTCAGAAAAAAAACATATCAAAAAGGTTATATTAAGACTACGTAAAACATAATAGGACCTAAAGTCCCCTCTTTACAGTCAAAAGGAGAAGAGTCTTCAATATGGGAATTTAAATTTCATTTGGATTTTTAGAGTTTGGGCACAACTATTTGGTTATCTTTCCCATCTCAAAATTGCTAAGGACTTCAGGGGAAAGAAATGGAGTAGTGTGGACTAAGACTTGGATCAAAGTAAAAATAGGTTGGAGTTATGAAACTGCACTTTCCCACGTTTTTCAGCTTCTTTGCGTGTTTCACTCCAGTAGTTAATTTAACACATTCAGTGACCCGGTTTTCCAAAGGTGCTGAACCCAATCAATTTCTTTAACCTGAAGTTTTTAAAATCAAGTATTATTAGAATAGCAGAGGTAGCAGTACATTCAAAAATCAGTCAGCAGAGATTTTTTTTTTGTTTTTAATGTTGTGGATCATTTACTAAGGGAGTCAATTGTACAAAGATCCTTGTGCATGTCAAGAAAAAGGCAGCTTGATTTTCATATGCTAGACTAAAAGACTATTGTAACACTAAAATTCACTTCTAGTAAAAAAAAAAAAAATCAAGAAAACTTTAAGGTGATCTTTTAATGATATTTTACATCGTCAAGAGTAAAATTTTCACTCCTTTCACTATTTTAATTTTCACATTTGGCTAAACTTCATTTCTGATGTATTTTCTTTTACAAAAGTGAAATATATTTATCGGTTGTTAAATTTGCTTCCTGGTTCTCAAATACTACCAACTTCTGAAGCATATGCACTAGAAGCACCATAGGTATACGAGACGTCTAAAAACTTTGCACGTTTAGAATTTCTAATGTAGCTTATCAGGCTATAAGGATTGTTCAGTTTTTCAAGTGGCAACCTATGGATCAACAAGATCACAAAATCAGTATGGTTAAATGAATGCTAAGAGTATTGCAAGTTTGACTTTAACGCAAGAAAATGTAAAAAGAAAGTCAATTAAAGAATAATGCACAAAGGAATTCCAATACTAAAAAGATTCTGATCTACTTTATATTCTGTATTTTTATAGAGCTGCTTCCACCAGCAAAGCTCCCTACTGTTGACTTCCTTTTTAAAGTGAATGTTTTCTGTTTTATAGAAATGGAAGCACAGATTTCTTACGCATCTAACTTTCTAAATGCCCATGACAGTACCAGAAAACTTCCATTCGCCACCCTGGACTTCCACCAGAAGACCGTTCTTCTCCTCCTAAACAGGCCCATCCAAACTGATTTTTGCAGAGAAACAAAGTGCTATTTTCAGTCACTTAGATTTGGTTAAAGACAATGTGACTAAAAGGATAGCCAAAAAAAACTTCTCTGAAAGTATTTTTGGGAGCTGTATCTGTTTTTTAAAGTTTGCAAAGGTTTATTTCTGCAGCATTGCTTCCTCCCCTCCCCCAAAACCCTATACTCACTACATCTTAAACACTTTGTCCCTCACCTTTGATCTGTGCACTGTATAAATCCATTCCACTTGATTTTTTCTGTTTTATAAAAATTGCACAAATGAAAAGCAAAATCTTTGTGAGAAGGGAAAAAAAAAAAAAAAAAAAAAAGAGACCAACGTGGAGAATGCATACATGTCAACAAACATGAAAATACTTGTAGCCACAAGAACTGATAAAAGCCTTATGGAAAAGGTGTAAACTTGACTTTAATTATAACACCTTTTAACTTAAAGATTTTTAGAACAGATGGTTCCTTTAAAAGTTTGTTTCTGTGCAGGTATTGCTTTAGAATACGTTTCTCCTCAGCATTCTTCCCGAGGTCTAAGTTCAGTATTTTTCAATTTTCCTGCAATAGGTGATGACGTTAAAACTTAGAGCGGCGTAAAGAATACATCATCCTTTAAGGCAACGACAGCAATAGTCCCTGACCTCATGCCTTGGCATGGAAAAAGCCTTTAAATGCATTTTCAAAGTTCAGACTCTCCGCATACTCAGTAAACCATATTAAGTGTCCCTCACAATTCAAACACTGGAGTTTCACAAGACTCAAATCTCTCCCTGGTAGCAAAACTATTTTTCATGAAAACAGTAACATTGTACATACTCTACTTGTGTTCTTTTGGATCTTACTTTTTTTTCAATTCCACTGAAGAACTGGAACATCGTTATGTTGGCTGGAGGCTTGGACATGCCTAAAGCAATACATATGCCTTTCAGCTCCTGAAAGACTTCACTGCCACCTCCTTCCTGTGCTTTTTTAGGAGGGGCATTCACACACAGCATTCTGGCAGCTTCCAGTTCTGAGATGAGGTATGCTGGGGTAAGAAAAATTAGATTTCAGCATCAGATACAGCAGAGTTAAATATTTTAGAACCAATGAAAGAATTCAAGTTCTTACAACCAACAAATGTGCGAATGGAGTGTTTTAGAAAGAGCTGGGGATATAACTTCGGTATCCAAAGAACATTCATATTTCCAGCAATTATTGAGCCCAAGGCTAGAAACCAAACAACTAGGGGAAAGGCTTTGTATGACCAATTAAATCCTGGAGAATATCCCCATGACTCCAACAGATATTACAGAGTTCAACAGATTACAACTCTCTTCGCTCAGGCTTTGCCCAGCAAAGACAGGAGACTAGGAACATGAAAGTAAGCACGATAAGGGACTGGGACATGCACTTTAAGCTAGACAAGCAAGGACTCCTTGATGTTCTGGTGAAAGAAGCAAGGAAATGAGTAGAGAGGAGTGAAACGCTGGATAAATCTCCTTTACTGCTTCCCCAGACAAGAGGCAGAGCAGAAGAACACCAACTTTTTGAAGTACTGTTGAGAATTCAGGCTTACAGTTCCAGCAAAGAAGGCAGTAACTGATGAAACTGAAGCTAGAAACCCTGCAATGCTTTTACGTATCAGAGGAGCAAGAGCCTACCGTCACATTAAAACTCCTTTATCAAACAACCAAACAAAAAAATTAAAATCACAGAACTGCATATGGTCTACCTTCCCAATTTCAGCGTTAGAATGTAAGTTATAGTGATACAGATTTAGTGCACAGCCATTGCTTGCAATTGTCACAACTTAAAGTTTGAATTGAAAAAATAAACATACTTAAGAACACTTCTTTTGAATCATACTGGGCGACCATAACCATAACTTACATAATTATGTAAGTAGGGATGGAAATATAGGCTACTGCACTGACAGAGACTAGTTATAGGTGTACATCCCTGACCACAATACAATAGCATGTGGTATTGTTCCAGTCAACCTTCTTATTACCTATAGAACTAGAGACAGGCCAAAAGATTAAGACCCAAACAAAGCATTATAATCATCTATAGAATTTTATCCAGCCTATGCGTCTTCTGCTAATGCCATAGAATATCATTTAATTTATGAAATTCTTCAGATATGTAAAGTAATGAGGAATCCCTTGTAAGCTGTTTCAATAGTTAAGTTTGTACTTTATACAGACTTGTCTTATCTTCAACTTTCAATTCTTTATACCATATTAGAATTTCCTGTAAAAGAAACTAGTGGCAGAAATTCCTGTTTCAAGAATTCAGAGATCACATCCAAGCTAGCTTCACCCTCCTCTGACAAAGACTGGAAATTTACGTCTATTACCATAAGACATACGCATTTGCCAGACAGCGATTCTCTTTTGCAGACCTTTTCTGAACCAGTGTGAAACTTCTCTTTCTTGTACTTTTTCTTTGTGCAGATGCCAATACTTAACACTGCATTCTACCGATACCATATACCAAGGCAATCCTACCTATTCATGCTTACTTGACGCTTTGCTTCTCCCAGTAATACTTCTGCATCTTCCAGTTGACATTAGCTGCAGTGTTTTGGCAAAATATAATATATCCTGGCATTCACTTACAGAGAGTTAGTCTCTGTTTTTCTGAAAAAAATCTCGTTTTAGGGCTCTCATACAGCAGGATACCTAATGAGTTAATGTAATGAAAGCTATGCAGAAGTTTTAGGTATTGCTATCATGTTACGGCCCAAAAGGAGTTTGGCATTCATTTCAGTTCCACATTTGACATTAAACACAGTATTCCTGTCGCATGGGACACCAGAGTTCGACTTCTGAACATGGCCTTACATTTCCAAAACTTAGATCATAGAGGACCTCTGGGATAAGCCGTTCGTCACAGAAAGGCCAAATTTATTCAGTGTTTTGGCTTACAGAGAATAACCTGAAAGGCAAATGTATGTGAGCTACAAAATACTGTAAATGTGATAGTTACCTCACTTCATCTGAGAGCACACTATCAAATCAAGTTCCGATTAAGCCTTACTACTACAGTCTTTCTCCAGTTGTTGAAATACAGGAACCTACTCTGCAATTCATTTCTTATATCTCAGCTAAGAGCAGAAATACACACTTCTGCTTTGAAAAAAATTAAGGAACCAGCAGCAACTTAGCATTCCACAGTGAGGAAGCAAAAAAAAACACAACAAAAAAAATCCATTATTTTAATCTGATCTTAAAATCAGTGTAAATTTAGTATTACAAATTCTAACTCTGACACTTGTAAAAATAATCCTTTTTTTTTTTTTTTTTATAATGTAAATGGAAATTGCACGCTTCTCCCAAATTGAGTACTATTTCTTCTGCTCTTACTTTTCCTAAATAGACTAAAATCGATTGAGATATTCAGAGCTGCTGGACGGAAAATGAAAAGGATCTCACCTTTGCTACTGTTCTCTTCTTTCAAGCAGCAGAAAGCAATACCAAAGCTATTCACTAGATGATCCAAAGAACCAGATTTGGGATAAAAAATTTCCTATTTTTTACAACTCCCATTTGTGTTTTCCTGCACCCCAAAAACAATCTTCTCATTTCACCTTGCAAGTCAGACCGTGCTCAGAGCTTCAAAAGGATAATGCACCTGATGTTATTGGTCATTTTTAATGACCTTTTTGAACGAAGCGCAGGGGCTAACTCCTGTCACAAATTTTTGAATGATTCCTTCTTTGAAGTACCTTTTGAGAAATAATAGAACGGGCTTTTTGCTAGTGAACAGGAAAAAGGTTAATTTTCAGAATATTTTCCATCATATACAGGCTAAGGAGTGACTGCTAAGTTTATGAGACCCAAAAGTATATTATTCTGATGCTGTAAGTTACAGAAAATAAAAACCATTAATAACTTCCCATAACCACTTTTTATATAGTGTGATACAAAACATCTCATATTATATTCCACAGTATCTCATTAAGTGTAACAAACAGTAGTACGACTCTTTCCACAAAAGCAAGTTTGCTTTCAAGCACCCTTTTAACTTACTGAGCAGCAAGAGACAGTTCTTTTGATTATGAAGGCGTTTTGTTACATCGCCTGATGTTAGCGATGCATATGGGCAGTTCATTTCAGCCAGTAACCCGCTCACTTCAAGTTGAAACTCTTCTGCTTCGTTTGGACCTTAAAAAAGAAAAGAATAATTTGTTCACAGCTAATCTATAGCTCTCTGGCTACGGTTAGAATGAATTTGATTTGTTTAAAAAAAAAAAAATTCTTTGCTCCAGTTAATATTTAACATAAGAGTCCTGCTTTTAATGAGAGTCAAATGCGTTCTTCAGGTTTCTCAGAGACACAGAACAATATTTGGGGCCAGGATGTTCGTCACTTTGATGGCTTTCCCCAGCTTTAATAAACAGCAACTGGCAACTTATACAATAAGAAGTGACATTAAAGATATCACAAATTTTACAGGTGTATTTTAAGCATCAATTACCTCTTCCCATTACAGACATCTTAGAGAAACCTGATAAAACCAATTATTACTGATTTTATGAGCTATCTTTACCTTCTTCTCCTTGTAAGCTCACAAAACAACATAAATTAACAACATCAAACGCATTACATTAGTATCCTTTAAAAACAATTGTTTAAGAAAAAGCTTAGATTGATGTTTGTGTCAGAACTCAAACACTGCTAGTGAAATTGATCTGAATTTGTTAAGCCAATTTCAGCAAAACATAATGTTAAAGAAGAAATAGCAGCTTCTCCTCTTTTGAAAAGGGACTTCTACCTAAAGCATCTATTCTTTATAAACACAAGTCACACAAAACAAAGATAGGACTTGATGATACCACACATAAAAATGTATCCTTGTGGTTGAGAGAATTTGAAATAGGTGTTAGAATACTGCTGAATTGCATTTTTATAAGAACGAATGGGAACCTTGTAGAATATAGCCTATCTTTTCCTCTAGTAGTAACAGAGAGAGGGAGTCACAAACTCAAAGAAGAAAGGATGGACTTGTGAGAAACAGCTAGAAAAAGGAAAAGTGACAGAACAGATGTTGAGGTGAAAGGGAGCAATCTTTGGGCACCTAGTAGACCGCAAGTTAAACTCATTAATGCATTAAGAGTTAACGTTAGATATTCAGAAGTACGAGTTATCACATCAATTTAACAACTGAATCTGTAAAATGCCACAAGCAGCTGACTGAAAATAATAGCGTTTTTTGAAAAGTTAGGGCTTGCTTCCTCCATCAACATGGAACACAGATAGTTTCAAGCTCTTTCTCATGGAGCATTTCATAATGAAGGAAAAATACACAGTAAAGACGGAGTTAAGGCAGTCAGTAATAAAAAGACAATAAGGTCACTCTAGTCATGAGGCTATTTCCTTGAACGGTAAAATTCCTTACATCAAAATTTCATATAGATGATTTGGAAGAAAAGTATTCTCATTATCCAATTCAAGAAATAATGTTTTCTCAAACCTATCTGAGAACTTAAAAAAACTCTGTAGTTGAACAATTACAAGAAAAAGCTAATTTCAGGAGAAAGATTGTTTGATTTTCACTATTAGTTCAGCCTCTATTGGTTGCTCACTACGCAAGCTTGAAAACCGAAGTGGAAAACATCCCAGATCTGACAGCGTGCAGACAACACTCCCTCGTACAACACATTTAGCAATTCTGTCAACCTAAATCTTGACAGCATGCAAGAACACACATTAATTGCACATTTGTGCTACGCTTATGGCTACTTACTGTTAGTTGCCTGTACATTTTCCTCTAGTTTACAGAATAGTCGTAACTCAGATACCAACCAAGCGCAGAGTTTGGTGAATTCCGGGGAACTGGCTCCACGAGAGACTGCCTGAGCCAGCGCTCCGTCATCTAACAGTGGACCTTTGTAACTGGTAAGTAAAAGAAAAGCATGATTTAATAAAGTTTGCTATAAGTGATGACCTGTGTAGATTTATTATGTCACGCTACATATATATTGAGAGCTACACCCTCACCACACCTGGAATGTTGAAGATCTAAACTGCATTCAGCTATGAGAAAAAGCATGTTGAAAATGTCCGACTAAACCCAGCACTTCTGCGCACATTAGCCTACTGACAAAAAGGCTTTGTCACAGAACATCATGAATCAAACGTTTCATCCTAGAAAATGCTACGACACACAGCTGCAAGTTCTCTCTCTCTGTCTCATTAAGACCTTACAATATACTTATCTAGGGCTACCACAGTTCCAGTCTCATTCTTGAATATTGCTTTACAGTATGTTGAATAATTACTGCTCGACTAGTGCATTTTTTTCCTGCCATTGGCTATCGCGTATTAAAGAATTTCGACGCAAAACAAAACCACAAAATTTGATACAAATGTTACAAAAACAATCAGCAAAACAATATCCTCTTTTGAAGAGCTACCTTCTTAAATTGGCACCTGAAAAACAAAAGGGAGTTGGTTCTTCACATAGACAACCTAAACCAAATTCAGGCCTAGTGTAAGAAAGCATGATTCTACAGAACTGATTTTAAAAGATGTAGTTTTCAGGACGTCTGTGTACCTTGCTGGGGGGAAGAGGAGGGTGAAGAGGAGGGAGAAACAGCCTTATTACCCAGGCAGAGGAACAAAGTTAGAGCTTACCAGAGTATAAAATCCACAATATCACTTTTGCGTACCGCACTCAAAACAGAAGGACATCCAAGAGTGAGTATAATCAACTGAAATTGCTATTTCAAGTTTCCACTGTAAAGTTACCCATTAAGTCACAGCGACCCAGTGAGTTCAGTCAACTCTTGGCCAATCTCCGAAGCAACAAATCTCTCAAAGAGTAAAATAATATGTTATTTTTCCATACTTTATTCTTTTGATTAACATTACATATAAAGGGTTTCTCTTCACTGTAATAGCTTCACCCAACCAAAATGAAGAAGCCACACTCCAAGTAACTTTTACTCCAAAGAGCAGCTTGATTAATGATACGGAGCTGATGGGAAGTTATAATTTGATCTACTTCATCCCCACCGCATTACCACAGTGAGCCAGATGCAATTCCAACAGGCTACTTAGAGTAAGCTTAAGTCCCACCGCACAGACTCATCAGACTTACACGTGTATAGGAACACACAAGACTCAAAATAGAAACATCAAGTTATAGCTCTAAGCAGAGCTGACGACAAGCCTTTTGCTTTGGCAGGATCTGGATTTAAGTTGCTCGTCATGTTAGAGGCTCCTTCTCTGAAATTTTTCTTTGATAGATATGACATCTTAACTATATTATTTCCGATAACCATGATTCAACTATACAGCTATTCAGCCAGTAATCCAACTTGCAGCTTCCTCGCCAGCCTTTTTCTTCTAAAGCACTTTAAAAGCTTTCAGGCCCATGCTTCCATTCCTCCCCCTCTCCCACAGTGTACGTTCTCGAGCTACGTTCTCCTTCAGTAGCGTTTTGATATCGGATTTGTTTGCTTTTTCAATAGTTCAAACTGACTTAAAAGGGAAGAGGCCACTGTTTGAGCAGTTCTCACACAACTTCAAGAACAAACAAACAATTTTATGATGTGCAATGCTATTAAACAAAAATCAAGCAATAAAGTAAGTCTTCAGCATTTAGTTAGAAAAAAAATATGTTGAACTTCAAAGGATAATGGAATTATTGTCAAAGCTTAAAAACCCCAAGCCCCCAAGCTTGTACAAACACAAGGAAACTAACAGAAATCTTTTAGTTGCATGCATGTAGCAGTCTTCCAGGTTGTTCCTGTTACTGCTGAAGTCCTGTCTTTTGCTCCCCAAATTTTCTTTACAAACACTGCTGCCAATATCACCACTGATATCACTGACTTACTTTTTACTCCATTTGGCTTGTTCGCTTTATTTTAATATGTCAAGAATCAACAGCAAGAGTTTCTAATCACTTCTGTGATTACTACACAAATCATAACTCCTTCAAGTCAGTAATATCCTTTCAAACATGTGGCAGGAAAAAAAAGCAGAAGTTTACGGTATTTGCAACATGAGAGAGACCTTTTCACATTTCAGTCAAACAAATACCTGCAAAAACAGTAGCCTATTTGTCAAGCATTGGAGCTATCATCACCAACTTAGCCTGGAAACATAATCTTTGTGGCTAGAGTCATTATGCTCCAACAAAGTGATTTACGGGAATGCAGCCAATGTGAGAAAATACAGCTGTTTGCACAGAACCAGCAGCAGTAAAATTGCAACGGCCTCTTTTCTGAGCCCTCAACAGTTTACAGGCAGACAAGCTTACACTACGACAATGTTCCGCTTGCTTTCTCGCATATTTTTTACAACCTCTGCTGACTCTGACAGAGTAGCAGGATTAAACAACACAAGTTTCTTGCATTACATTCTAAAAAAAGGCAGCTAAAGGGAAAATACTACGTCATTTTTTTTTTTTTACCAATTTTTTTTTTTCCACAAGAACTGAAGCCCAAACGCTTTCCCCTCCCCTCACTTCTCCGACAAGGTTTCTCTCCTCGTTCCCCACCTCCAGCCAGGAGAGCTCTACTGACAGGAAGGGCATCACCAGAGTCTGGGCAACCAACACTCACCACGGGGGCAAAAACTCTGCAAAGACGTTGCGGCTAAAAGCAGCCTGCTTGGCTTCGCGCGTTTCCTTACGCCAAAGCGGCACTACCCACGGGTGGTTTTAGGGCCGGCCCCCCCCGAGGCGGTCATGAGGAAAGGGATATTGCCGGGGCTGAAGCCGGGGAGCCCCGGCTGCGGCTCTGCCCGGCATCGCAGCGCCGGGGGGATGCGAGCC